CACCGCACGGCTCGAGGGACAAGGTAAGTAAATACTATGGGATATTCCCGAGTGTATCTCAGGGTATGGAGAAGTAACCCCGAGCTACACTCGGGAATACCGCCAAGGAGGTTAAAACATAGAAAAAAACGTTTTTTACAAAATTTCTGTAGATATTTTCAGCCAATTATAAAAAACAAAGTAGGGTTTTCATTAATATAGTATATACAAATAAAAGTCATATACAGTAATTGCTTTAAAATAAATTATAAAAATAATTCAGGTAAGGAAATTATTTGGAAAGTTAATTGACAAATGCTGGTGCTGATAAATTTGGCCTGGGCATCTAGGCATCAATGACAATTAGGCATAAAAGGATAGAGCGATGAAAGGTTAAACCACTGGCAGGATTGTATTGCTGCCTGGGTCCCAAAATAAAAAAAATAAAGTTTGGGCTTTTACTAGGGATGCACCAAAATATTGCCCGTCAAAACATACTGGCCGAAAATGGCACTTTTGGCAAAATGCATCCTATTCTCTCCTTCCCGCTGGGGGCTGCTCTGTGTCCCAGCGGGGAGGAGAAAAATTGTGACAGGTGGCCGAGCGCTGCGGGAGGAGAGTGCTGTGAGTGGCCGGCGTCTCTCCTCCCACACCGCTCAGCCTCCTGTCACAGATCAGAGGAGAGCAGTGTGGGCGGAGACAGCCAGCGCTGTCACAGCAAGCTGAGCTCCATCCGCTCACTGGCACAGGAAGGAGAGCAAGATACAAACACTCAGTGATCAGTAATCGCTGAATGTTTGTAAATAATTGAGGACAGAGTATGGTTACTATATCCTCAATTATGAATGCATGGGAAGTGATCTACATCACCTCCTGCTCATTCATGATTGTGGTTATAGTAAACATACTATGGCCTCATGTTATGAACGAACAGGAACTTATGAAGATTCTTATGTGTACATAATAGTTTCCCAAAAAGGAGAAATTGACAGGTAAAAAACCCGTCTGCTCTCTGATATCTCCAGCACACTCTTCCTGACTTTCTTCTAGTTCTCTATAAAAACAGGAAAGCTACCTCCATTAAATGTGAGTTTCTAAAAATGTAACCAGCATAAAACTTATCAGACATAGGGGTTAATTCCCCAATGTTATTTTCTTCATTTCGGGCGCTATTTCCTTGATATCGCTTGTTATATAGTTGCTGTGTAAAGGTCAATTCACAAAACTCAATAACGCTTCTGATTATTAAGTAGTAAATGAACTATTCCGATGTTATTTTAACAACTTAAGTGAGAAAACGTGCGTGAAATACAATTCACAAAAGGAAAAGGTCCTTTTATTACTCGTTATTGAGGTGTAGATTTATCACCTCCTTCAGGGTGATGTTTTGACAGATTTCAGGCATTATATGATGCTTGTTGCACTGAGATGACGTGAGGTAAATAGAAATGGAACATTTTTTCTTCATTTTCACATGTGGCCTAATTTGCATACAGAAGAAGAAGGCGGCATGTAGTTGTCATTTCTACAGTTTTTATCCTTCTACAAATGTGGATGATTTTTTACAGTTAGAGATTTAGTGACACATCTCACCTGACACGAAAAATCAAATATCACTGGACACCCTTCAGTGGGGTTGTAGAGCAAGTGTATTGTTCCCTGCAACAAATTTAATATCAAAACAGACTTTAGGTGATAAGGAGAATTGCTTGCCCTCCCTACACTGATTATCAACAGGTATAGATCTAAATAAATCTAATGTTTCATATATTCTTTCCATTCAAAAAAAATGTTATTGTTATTTCTATAAGATTTCTTCTCTAGCAAATTTAAAATGAGTATGCATGTGGCGAATATGGAATATATTCCTTCCATATGTGTGGAATCCTTTTGTGTGGTGAAAGTGAAAGTAACACCCCTTCTGCTACCACAATGCACTGCAAACGTGTTAAAATAACACCCAAAACATTATTTTATCACAGTGATAGATAAAATAAAGTCTGTGATGTTAAAATAACATTTGCTTAACGAACGTTAAACTGCGTGTGCATTCATGATTCTAGCTTTTGTGAATTGCATGTTTCAGCAAGCAAAATAAAGAGTGGTAAAATAACGATAGATCAATGAACTTCTACTCTCTTAACGCTTAGCTTTGTGAATCGGACCCATAAAACCTGAAACCAGCACAATGGCACCAACACTATCGATATTAGTATGAAGAGCATGAAGCCACAACAACTGCAGCCTGCAGCCCAGTTTTCCCTAGATTTCTAATAATATGATTGCTCACAGTCCCAGAAATGAATGATTAAATGGAAGAGTCTGGTCGAGCCATCTAATGAATAAATCAGGGGCGATAATTAAATGTGAAAATGAATAAACAGATGAATAAGTTAATTTACGAGCTTGTTTAAATGGCGCAGGATCTTATAAACATGGCCGTGTGCCATATCGGTGCTGTTAACATAATCAATAGCAGGAAGACGAGAATGATGTAGTCTGCAGTACAGAGAGAAGTGGCTGCCGGGTCCCTGGAGACATGGCTGGAGTGCTGCAATCATCATCTGGTGGCACATGGACTGAAATAATTCTGGGTCAAGGGCAGTGGAGGATCAGGGAGCCCAGCCTACAGCCAGGTTTAAAGGGAAATTAGTGTATTTTCCATGAGCTTATATTTTCCCCGCTTCAGCTCTCTTACCTGTATACCCCTTATGGACCAGGGCAATTTTTATATTTCCACTATAGGCCTGTTTATTTAATAACTTTGTCATTACTTAAGAGTACAAAATAATACATTCAATTTTGAGGGCGAAATCTAGGCTTTCTTTTGAAAAATATTGTTTTCCAAAAAATGTTTTATTTTCTATTGCATCTATGGAAAAAAAATTAAAAATGTTTTTTTTTTCAGTTTTGAACAGTGTCATTTTCTAAAAGTAGTTTTATTGTAAATAAAATGAATACATTTTATTGTTCTAATCCTATTGCACTGAAATTGTATTGTAACTGTATTGTCTCCCCCATTTTGTAAAGCACTGCACAAACTGCTGGCGCTATATAAATCCTGAATAATAATAATAATAATAATATTCTATAATTTGTCCTATTTAAAACAACACTAAAATGTTTTTTTCTGGTACAAAGCATAGCAAAATTATTTACAATTTAAAAAAAATCAACTTTGCACATTTTCTTGGCATGTGACACTGAGAAACGTAACAAACAAAACAAATGAAATTGTAAAAAATAAATAAATATTAATGGTAAAAAAAAAATAGCAGTAATAAAAAATCAGCACAGAAATAACAGCTGAGAGGGGAATTTATTTAAAGAACAAAACGTTTTAACCTGTAAGGCTTCTTTAAGTGATGTCACTGCATTCACTGTTTCATTCATCGGTAGATCACCTCTGATCTACATATGAATGAAATAGTAAATACAATGAAACAATAAAAACATTGACTCATTTTATTTACTCAATGACACTACAGACTACAAGTGCCATTTTACACAGGAGAAGCTGCATTTTGACAGCTGCTCCTGCTGTGTAATAGAAAACAATTACTAGCTGTCATTTTGACAGCTAGCAAATGCTGGTAATAGCCTGCAGAAGCAAGCAGTGGCAGGGAAGAGGGGCTGGACATTAGAGATGCATCAAAAGTGTTGCTGAAGTTTTTCAGGACGTATATCTAACATTCTAAATCCTGAAGTGGTTAAGGTATTAAAGTGAAATGAAACCCAGAAGCAAAAATGTAGTTTATTGCAGATCACCAACCCTCAAATGTACTGACTGCATATTTTTTGTTTAGGTTTTTTCCTTTCATTTTCAACTGGTGATTTGGCCAGTAACAAACTTCATTTTCTAGGGTGGCTCCACTCTGTGAAGGAGCAATGGAGCCCTCCTTGGACAGTAGCATTTTCACACTGCGGAGAGGGTAGTGTTAGATGCACTAGCAGATTTAGATGGACATGGCAAATTAAAGTGATATTAAAGTCAGAAAGCTTTTAAGCTACTTTAAATCATTACAATGGATGCTGCTTCTTGATGTTTAAATGTTTTAGGTTACTACAGAATCAGCTTGCGCCCTGAGCGCAGGCCCTGATAGCTTGCTTTAGGGTGACTCCTTTCCCTTGCAGGGTCCTATGTAGCCACCCTTGTGTGTGCTACTAAGCTGTGTTTGTCTCTACAAACACACAGACACAGCAAGGCAATCCGCTCCCCTGTTCCTCGCTCCTCTCTTCACCCTTCTCCAAACTAGTACAAGGACAGTTGTTGCAGACTGTGCTGCCCCTTGTAATCTTGTACTGGACAAGGAGTTCGGGGAAGCGTAGCTGAGAGAGTTGGAGCTGTTCCGCAACATGATGACAATAAGTGCTTGGAAAAAAAATTAAAGAGATACTTTGCATGTATATTTGTTTGATCTGGATTCAGTATTGAAAGAAAAAGTGTAAGAGTGTCATACTACTTTAAATCTGAACTCCAGCTAACACTTTTCAAGTAGTTGCAGCAACATTTGTTTCCATATGGGATAAAGGTTTTACATAAATGAATAAAAGCTGACCATTGTAAGCACCCCCATGAATGTTAAATGGTTTGTCTCAAGCCTCTGTTTATCACTTTCATAGACAGATTAGTCTGTTAAAAGAAGTTGACAAATGATTCCACCAGATCACCAGGTGGAAAGAAAGGGAAAAAAAGGAAGAAACTGAATGCAGCCACAACATTTAAGAATTGTTAACCTGCAATATATTACATTTTTTCTTCTGGATTTAGATACGCTTTAATGCAATGGTTACCTTAAAGTTGAACCCTGGCCACAAACACTTTCACTTAAATATATTTACAAATGAAAAAAAAATCAACTTTGCACATTTTCTCAATTGCTCCAAAGGATTCCTTTTTGTGTCCACTCAATGTCTCTGCAAACCCAGATATTTCCATCTAAATTTGATTCTCACAAAATTACTCTACAGAGAACAGATAACAGCCCACTTTATTCTTCAAGTGAATTATATGCACTTACTGTGGTTGTATAAGCGGCTTCAGGATCATCTTCTAACACTCGTGAAAGTCCAAAATCTGAAACTTTGCAGACCAAATTGCTGTTGACTAAAATGTTCCTGGCTGCTAGGTCACGATGGACATATCCCATATCGGAGAGGTATTTCATCCCTGAGGCAATTCCTCGTAGCATTCCCACCAACTGGATGACTGTAAAGTGACCATCGTGCTTCTGTAAGGAGAGAATAAAAATACATCTCAGGTTGGTTAATATCTGAATAGATGATTATGCCTTTGCCAAATTCAGTCTACTTAATACTGAAACCCAGGTATAGCTAAAAAAAATACCATCCACATATGTCAATAATAAATATTCCAAAGAAAAAAATACTTTTTGTACAGCTAGCACACAGTATCTGAATCTGAATTCAGGTGGCCTTACAGCTGCAGAATGTCTCTAGATAATCAAGATACATGTGGTTTAAGTTTGATCCCTAGAGATATTTGTCCTTGAAAAGTCCTTATTCCTTAAAAGTTATCATGACCCTAAACTGATATCTCAGTTTTGTGTGAGTATAGGTAAGCCGGCTTACCTGTTTCATTTATCTCTGCCTGGAATTATATGTGTCTGGAATCCGCCAATAAGGTAAAAGGATAGTGTTATGCTCCTGAAATTGGATTCTCCAGTTATTTGTTTATTCTAATTTATGGACTATTTATGGCGGGCTAGTAATGGTAACACCATCACTTGAATGACATTTCATTTGTGCAGAACCTAGAAATGTTGGTGAGGATGTCTCACTCCTGATTTCCCCGAGAGATGCAAGAAGCTTTTCTTTGATTCACTTTACAAGTGACCATGCTCAGGTAAAATAGCTGATCCTTGACTCAAAAAAGGAAGATTTGTTATGGTAAAAGTTATAAATGTAAGTCTTGAAGCCCATCTCCAGGCATGACAATTCACCCTCTCATCCCTTGCTCCTACCCCATCACCTATTCAGTAGACATGTAAATGTAGTTTTGTTACATTTAGACATTCAGATGCATCCGAATTTCCGAATTAGAACGAATCTGAATGTCCGTTTAACGAAATTCAGATCCGCCCGAGTTTCGTTCAAAATGAAACTAAATCGGACACATGACTGTTCTCTGGCCAATCACATTTTTTTGTGGCTGTTGGGGCAAGGTTATATGACTTTGTTCCAAATTGAAAATTCGGATCATTCTGAAACGAAACTTCAGATGCATCCGAAATCCGAATAACAAAACAAATTGAATTTCAGATTTGAAATCCGAAAAGCAAAAAGAAATAAAAATCTGAATTGATCTGAAACTAAACAAATGTTTTGCAGGGTTACATGTCTACTATTCAGGTGATATTTTTTAAATAAGTATCTTTAGATGTTTTATATACTCATTATATACGAAGTCTGCTGTCCTTGTTCCTTGCTGACAGCACTTCTCAGAGAAACAACTGGTTGATCCAGCACTTCAGTAGACCAGTGGCATCTTCTCAAAGTCATCAGCCACTACAGTCTTTAAAAAACCCTGCTTCTGGACAGCCAATATAAGGTGTCCACATCACCCAGGCAGTGACATGGACACCAGAAAAATGCCCTCCTTAATTAAAAAGTTAGACGACTTGACAATGGATCTAGGGAAGTATTTTGGACTTTTAGCTTAGTTCCACCTAGTGTTTAGTTGGGGGTAGGCAAGAGTGGGGAGGAGGAGCTATGCCCAGAGTTTAACTTTAATTGTGCCTAAACAGTACTCGGAAAATTACATTTTGTCTTGAATTCAACCTAAAACAATTGCAGTGTTATATCATGTGCCTGTTACTAGGCAATCCTATACATCTTCAGTGTAAGATTATTAAAGGCACTGCTGTCTCTGCTAGTCTAAAAAGATTTGGAGAGATTCAGTGATATCATTGCTGTGTGGTTTACTGTTCTTGCTGGAGAGGAAGGTGTACCTAAGAACTTGCAGTGCAAAGATCTCCCTGTTTTTATTCATTTAGTGTATTTGTACTTTCTCCACCTCTATTGGTGCCTCTTGAATATTACCCCACTAGTCATACGTTCACCAGTCATCAGGGGGCATTTCTCATATGAGGAAACAAAAATGGTCACCGTCACAAAGAGAAGCAGTGTGGAACAAGGCATAATAATTCACTAATAAGGTCAGCTGTAGGGAGCATTTTGGCAATACTGGTGACTAGTCCTTTGCCCCCCAATTGCTTTTTCTGGGCACAGCTTTCACAGTACAGGTCCTCCTAAAGTTTGGTTCTTTTCAGCACTCCTTCTATCACAGCTGTTACTCAACGCACACCTATTTATCTGCCTTGCTGGTAAACATTCACTGATAAGTAATTACAATGATAACTAAGCACCAAGCAAGACAATTGTAATTGGAGTACATCAAGTACTATCAAAACCATTCTGTGAAATATGTCCGGATATGCACCTGGATCGTAAGAGATTGCTAAAATGTTTCGAAATGCTGGAAGGTATAACAAATTGTAGATAATCACAATAAAAAAAAACAAAAAGAACTCCCTTATTTTGATAAACACAGGAAAAGAAATGTACTCAGTAAAATGCCTGTAACTGGAATCTATATTGGGGTTTCTATAGATAATTGCTATTTAAAGCAAAGGCAGAGAACAATCAAGAGCAAGGAAGATATTACCATGTACAGAAGGCATTCAACTCCAGCCATGAGGTCCCGGTACTTCAATAACAAGCTTTATAATATAACTTCTTTATGAAGCGCCACCTCCAACCCTCGCACAAGAGATAAGACTCCATTATGGAACGGGAGCAGCCCCAGGGCAGAAGATGCTTTTAGGTTAAAAGCCTGGCAATGATAGAGTCTTCTGTTGTGAGTTTAGATTCTATGACCATTATTATCTGCTATATTCATCTGTCAGTAGAGTAATGGAGAAATGCACAGCTCATAACACTGACCTAAACAACAATAGTGTAAAACAAATTCAATAGTTCGATAGCACTACAAAGTAAATAAAATAGTAATTGAAGGTTAAAGCATAACTGTCCCCACACTATGAATTTTAAACATCTACATATTCTTATAGATCAGCAAATGAGCTTAAGAAACCCTCACTGACCTCTGTTTGTAGCTACAGAAACGGTGGAGAAATTCATCCTCAGAGGTCTCAGCAAACGTACTAGAATTGTAAAGTCTTGATCTCAGCTAACCCTGATCCCCCTCCAAGTAGTGTCTCAGTAGTCTTCCAGCCTTCAAAACTCTACAATGGATCACAATTGTCTTCTCCACCGGATTCACCCAGTGTGCTCACCTCTATTCGTTAATGAAATAACAAACTTTTGGGTGAGGCTGTTTTTGCAGTGCGCACAAGACAGGTGCACTTTAAAAGACATGGTGGAATCAAAAAACCTTTTCAGCAGTCTGGCTTAATCAGTTAAGTGCAGCACCTGTCTCTGGTATTGTGCAGCTAAAGATGGGATGAGGAAAAACTTCTGAAATAAACAGCTCAGAATAATGTATTGGCAGTGTTCATTTACATGACAAATGCTGGCATTATTCTGAGTCTGTCGCAGATGCAAGAACACCTCGGGCATCAGGGATCCCAGATATGGGCATGTAAATGAGCACGCCGACATGTTCTCCACTGCGCCAGCCAGCGTCTACAGTAATAAAAGGTTTAACGTTCTTTTTGTTTATTGTGAAGGAGAATTTTCTGACAGTGGGAGCTATTTTCTTAACAATGAAGATTTTTCTTACAAAATTAAAAACTTTCATTGGATGACTTGGGATTTTAAATGATCCAAGCCTAATTATACATGCGGTTTTCGTCTGGAATTTACTAATGCAGTGGGTGTGTGGGGGGCATATTAATTTGCTGCTTGTTAACATGTTCCTGTCAAGAATGATTAAATATTCATATATAGTAGTTTTCTGTGGAGGATATTATGCTGTAATGGATGTGCTGATGCATGTACACAATGTGTGCAGTAGGGTGACAAACCACTAGTTCAAAAATTCAGAATTGGCATCCTGTACTTTATTTAGTTAAAGATTCATTTAGTGTTAAAAGTATGGCTGACAAGAAAAAAATGGAAACTGTTAGCTGCAAACAGCTGACGGTGCCTGATGGTATACACAGGAGAGGACAGTCAACTGATTGAACCAGGCCAGGAAGGGATGTATATGTCTACAGCAGGTCCCACTCTGCCTGTGGACTGCCCTGTGGGAGAACACTCAGCTGAGTAGGTTAGAAAACCAGCATAGACTGCTGCTCCCCCTGTGCTTAGCATCATTGGTAGCATCTGCCAGTGCTGTTGATCTCCTTTCCAATTAGATTTAAGAAGAACTCTGAGCAGAATAAAATGTAACTCTTGCAGTGGGGCTACCACCGCACCTCAAGAGTTAAGTGCTCGTTTTGGTCTAGGGTGTCAAATAAAGAAGAAACACTCACCTGAACCTCGGACCCACCTAGCTGCTAGACCGGTCCCCGCAGTCTCTCTCCCCCCAGAATCCAGCGGAGGAAGGTCCTTTGGCATCCTCACGTCTAATACACTGTATTATATTTGATGACTCACGGGTCATTAGACTGCCAGAGCAGAGGTGGACAGAGGCTTTGGGGACAGGTCTAGCAGACAGGTGGGTCCGAGGTTCAGGTGAGTACCCGTATATCTATTTTATTTTACAACCTAGACTAAAACGAGCACATAACCCTTAACTTTTATTCTGCCTGGAGTACTTCTTTGATAGGAACAACTGGCCACCAGATTTTTTCTGTTCATGGGCCTGCTGGTGCAGTGCAGATCAGTAATAGTAAAAGAAGCAGCAGCCACAAAACATAAAGTTACTTATAATTTTTTTAACCCTTTCATCCCCTCTTCTTGTCTGTATATTTTAGCTCCATTCTGTCCCTGCTCTGATGTGTGGATTAACCTCTTCACGCCCCTTATTATGCACATCTGTATATTATGCCCTTACTATGGGGTTATGGCTTTTCCCCATAGTTCTCCTTAGGGTAACGGGAGGACACAAACTAGCGTCCTCCCATCACCCTAAGCTCAGTATACCGCGAGCTACACTTGCGGTATACACTCACCTCATAGTTCTCCTTTATTCTCTATCCTCCTACTGTGTGTGGCCTGTACATTAACCTCTTCACCTCCTTCTCCCTGTATGACCTGTACATTTACTGTGTATAGTGTATCATTACCAAGCTCCAGGTTTTTATTCTCTCAATACCAGCACGTTTCTTCGTTTCCCAAAAATTGTGCACATTTCATCAGATCACCTTCGAAGTGTCCACTTTCCAAAAAGAGGTAATTAAGGTAGAGGTTTGTACTGTCCTGGCATTTTTATTTGATATTGTTTATAACAGCAAGTAATGGAAACTATTTTTTTTCAAATTTTTTGGTCTGGTTCCATTATATAGTAAAAAATAAAAGAAAAAGGTTATTAACCACTTCAGAAAAACAGGACATACCTGTACGTCCTGGTCTTGAAGTGGTTATACCCAGCTCATGGCTGCTGCTGCCATGATCATTTTTTCAGCAGGAAGAGGGCTTTCAAGTATGAGTGATTCTGGGTCTGGATCTAGAGCCACCCGATCCACTTTTAACCAGGACAGAAGGTACTCCCCCCTTCCTGCACACCCCACCCCCTACGATGGTTTTCAGACTCCCCCACTCCTCTGGGGGGCCCAGGGCATGGCAAACAGTGTCAGGATGGAGAATGGGAAAAGACTGTGGAACATATGTTCCCCGATCTGCTCTGTGATCAATACAGCAGACAGCGCTGTGCTCCCAGCACTTCTGGCTTCAGAGCTGTCAGAAGTGCCAGAGCTGGCTGAAGTGCCTTTACCCAGGCGATCAAACACATAGCAAATAAACACACACGCCTAGGGCATGCACATATATGTAAATTAGGTATCACCATGGATGTCAGAGTGAGAACAATAAGTCCAGGGCCATACTACAATGTTAACTCTAAACTGATGAGCAGTAAAGGCTTTTAAAGCGTTTCATATGGACAATTTGTGTACCATAGTTTTTCACCATTGCACAAGTGTGCACAATTTGGTTTCTATTTGTTTGGGGGTTTAAAGTAATTTTCTATCTAGAAATTCAGATTTTATAATGTGTATGAAAAATGAAAAAAATTGTCCTGGTACTAAAGGTGGTTAAATATTACCAAACAAAAGCTCTATTTGTCTAAAAGAAATGTTATAAACTTCATTTGGTACAGTGTTGCCTGATGGAGTAATTATCAGTCAACCTTTCACAGTGCTGAAAACTGAAAAAATGGCCTGGTAATGAAGGGGGTTTAACATGATGGTACTGAAGTGGTTAAACATTATTTAGTGAGTACAAAACTGAATAAAATTATGTTATTTATGTTTGTTTTGGAGTTTGCCTTTAATTTGTTGCTGTTTACTATGATGTTCAGTTTCACCGATATCTGAGATGCCTTCAGAAGGATAATAAACATTGATGGATACATTGTTAACGTTACTGTGGGTGTAACAAAACAGTTCAATGTACGGAGCAACAAATCATTGTTGAGACAGCAGAACATAGCGCATGATTAATGGTTCTATAAGTGAACTTCTGCTGAGGAGCAGCACCTGTGGTCATAACACCATCTGCCATTTACACAGCATAATTACATCCGCCCCAGAATAACTAAAAGGTGACACGTAGCTGTGTTCCCAACTGAATGCGTACCATGCATATGCTTAGGAACTAACTATTAACATGTTTCTCAACACTTTTTAAGTGTAAAGAAATTAGACATTTTATCTCACTCCCAGTCCATTTAAAACCACCTACATTGAGGAAACACAATACCCACACCCAGCGATGTATGCCTAGGTACATTAGAGGAGAGCGTGATAAAAATAATCCCAGTTTATGTGTACTTGCTGTTTGACTTGTGCTTTTGAGCTGCAGCAGTGCATAGATCTTAGCAGCTATAAGTTTAAAATCTGATCTTTGCAACATGGGAGTTTATAGGTTTTGACAGAAGGATTTACTGTTGGATGGAGGCGCTTTAAATGTAAAAGGCTGGTTTGCAGATAACAGTCTATAAAGGCAGGATGTGTTTGAAGATGAGTCTTTACAAAGTTATTGCTAAATGTTTTTGTTGTCCCAGGAGTTTTTATTTGACTATTGTAGGTTTGAGGTGCCAATATAGGGTCATATACAATGGGTGCCTACATGCTCCCCTGTGCTGTCATTTGCTTTACTCATACTTACCCATAAGAAGATCTGAGCTCAGAGACATGGATATGGCATCATATTTAATATAGTAACTGTTGCTTCATACATATAAAAGGATTGTATGCATGTTGCAAGAAGCTCTACACTGCTCATCTCATTTGTCTTTTTTAGTACCCGTCTGATCCTGCCCATGTATACTGGAGCTACATTTATTATTGCTAAATGCCAAACAATTAATAATAATAGTCTAGACTATTGTCCATTTTTTAAGTCAAATACAACAGAAATGACAACACATAGTGGGGATGAGCTCACGTTCAGACCAAACCCAGTCTGAATCTGAGCTCCTCTCAACAAAAAAGCTACATGGGTCTCCCTCTCAATAAGCTGAGGGTTAGGGCATTTTTTGCCCTGCAGCTGAGCATAAACAAAGGAGTGGGGTGCATGTGCTGATGTAATTTACCTTATATAGCCATGTTACCATATCAGGTCAATGATGCCACAGTACCACACCCCTTTGCTTAAGTGCAGCTGCTGGTGAAGTATTCCCCTGACGCAGCTGGTTGGGTAGCATCGGAAGGAGCTTCCATCTGGGTTTAGAGGTGCTCCCTCCTTGTTCGGAGAAGCTCGGCTTGGTCCCAACCTGAGCTCATCCCCACACTGGAGTTGTATGTGTACAAGACAAATATCCACAGAAATGTAAATTACCAGCATGTAGAGACAAAGGTACTTATCTGGAGAAATTATAACAACCATACCTTACACTGGAATTCCACTACTGGAGCAATATTCCATAATGCCAACATTATATTAGTTAAATGTTCCCATTGCCGAAGCAAAATGTAAAATATATTTCAAAATTGCTTCTGACATTTTTAGATGTCTTTTACTTGCTTAAAGTTCCTAGCTTACTGTTTTATGTAATGTTAAGGAGGAGGCTGTGGAGATACGTTTACCATAACTAACCCTGTCTGTACTATGCTGGCAGATCTCATTATCAGTTTGTAAACTAGATTTGAAAACTGTCTGTCCTAACTGAGGGCTAAAGTCCTGTGTATAAACCTGCTCCAGAGAACTAGCTAGAAAAAAAAGTTAAGAAATATATATATTTTTAAATATTTTTAGGTATGCTGTGTGAATGGGAACACATAACAAATATACAATGGGGGTTTCTCAAATTTGACTGTAACCGTGGAATGACCGTGGAACAAAACAAAAAGGCAAGCAGAGGACTAGTCACCAGTATTGCCTGTGGTCTTCCGGCAGCTGATCTTTTTTTTCCTTTTGTTGACTCACCATGCCTTGTTCTGTACTGTCTCTCTTTGTGGAGGCAGTCATCTTGATAGAGACAGAGTTTTACTTCCTCATGTCAGATCTTCCAGCAACAGTTAGCAGCACAGCAATAACATCACTAAATCTTGAGACTAGTAGTCAGAGGCAATACTACCTTACATCATCCCACACTACAGATATACAGCTATGAGTCTACAGAACAGGAGTTGCTCAGCACATGCACATACTCACATCTCTACAATTAAGCACAATGTAGGTGAAACACATCAGCAGAGGAGGTCCCTGGCGGGGACTCTTTGCTTGTTGGTCTGGAACAATAAAGTTGCCAGCATTTGAACTTTCCTAGAGTGCAGCTGGCTTTTTCTCCTTCTCAGTCTCACCTAAAGGAAGCAGCTCGAAGCTAGAATTTTACATTTTATTTATTAATTATTAATGATTTATTTATAATTTATTTTATTATTATTTACATTATTTATTTCTTAAATTTCCTTTTCATTGTTAACTAACCATTTTCTATTCAATAAGATGAAGGGGCTACAACACAAGAGGACCTTGCATTTTCATGCATGGTCTTCTTTAAATTAGTTTTAAAGATTTGCTACAGGGAGTTAAAGAAAATGAAATCTCCCAGTGCATCGAATATACCAAAAATCTCTGTCTTTCATACCACTAAAATACACTTCTCTAAACAATAACTCGGCTTAGAGAGGAAATAAATTATAGTCTTAAGTGTGAGTCCTCTTTATTTGCCAGAAATGGTGCAATGTATCATCACACCAAGGTAATACAGCCCAGGGGAAAAACAGCTATTCTTCAGGAGAAGAAAAAAACCCCATGAATAATATTATGTAAAAATTAATTTGCAATAAATTATTTCAAATCTCAGGCCAGGATTGTTTCTTACTCAAATGTCACGAGAAAATGACATCTTACCCGCAGGAACGAGTCCAAGGAACCGTTTTCCATGTACTCCACCACAATCATCACAGGCCGGCCTGCAAACACAGCAAAGAAATTCATTAGGAAGATTAAAGGTGTATTAGAGGTTGATTATACATTTCCAGCTGTTATGGAAAGATTATCTGTATCACTTTAATGAAGTTCATATGTCTTAGGCTGCAGGGAGGGAAATAAAAAGATCTTCCAGTCAATTATTTGTACTGCTGTTGCTGGAATGGCGAGACTTAGCATTAGAGTACCCTGATGACTTTTTATTACCTGTTCCTTGGCATGTGTCAGACATGGAACCATACATAATGACTTATGCCAGCGGTATTCATAAGTACGACAGTATGCGTCTTTGTTAAAGCGTTTGCAATCAGGAAAACAAAATACATCACAGAAGTCATTATGGCAAGCAGGTCCAGTACTACATATGCTCATGTTTTTAAACATCATTTCAAACAAGTATAAACTGTTCTATTAAAATGCAATCTTGGTGATTGATTGTCCTGTTGGGCTTTCATTACTTTCTCTCTTTTTATTCATATGATGTCTGATATTTCACCATTCAATACACAAGAAAGAAAATAAAATGGCATGATGTGCTGAAAATTGTAACTTACTAGAGGAGACAGGTGTCGATGTATTTTGCCAAAAAAAAACCCTGAAAAATATTTATTTCAATTAAATAATGCAGAGTTTCATCTGCCAGGCTGCATTTACTTAAAGCAGAATTCCAGGTAAAAATTATAAATAAATAGCCCAGCTAAAGTAAAGATTAATTACTGCCATACTCACTGCTTTAATACTAATACTAAATCCCTGAGTGTATCCCACCAACATACAGTCTGGAAGGAAGGACTGCCAACCACCATTGTGGTGTATATATATATATATA